ATGCAGATGTGCTCAATTTGAATCTATCCATCCTTAACAGCATTCTTTGCTTGAAAGTGAAATAAATTATTTCCAAAGCCAACACGTTTCTTGGTTATGATTTAACTAGCAAACAAATTTGTTTACTTCCAGTAGCTGTATTTGTGTCTTTGCCTTTTTTCCTTCTTGTTTGATTTATGGCCTTCCTTACCTTAATTCTAGTCTGCTCTTTAATCCCTCGCTTGTGGATGTTGGAATTTCAGTATCTGTGGTACACAGACTAATCTCTGTTTCAAAATGGTGACTTGTGCATGTGGTAAAGCAGACAAATTTATCTTATAAATACATATGGAAAAGAGAGGAAGATTTTCTGGGTATCTGATATTTAGAAGTACTTTCTGAAAAAAAGACCAAAGATTATAGTCTTTAAAACAAATTACATCTCTACACGAAGGAAATAAACACCCTCACAAATGTGCCATTAAGCAATATTCTAGTAGATGAGGGGGATTGAAATTTTCAATAATTTCATTTACCTTGCATCCACAAGCAACACCCATGACAGCAGCTGTCAAGGAATCAAGAGATGTGCTACACTGAGCAGGTTTGCTGTTAAGGACCTCTTTAAAGTGCTAAAGAATAAGGATAGTGGTTTAATAAAGATTAATATGTGTTTACAGAAAGAACAATGGCAGTGCAAGGATGTCTGGGTCTGACCTCTGTTAAATCTGCAAGTGGAAATTACCCTCATCAACAACATCCACATTACAAAACTAGTTCCTATAAGGTCAAATATGTTTTCCCATGCTTCTGTACCTACTTCTACTAAATCTGACACCAAATATTATGGCTTTCCTGGGTCTGAAATTCATTGCAGTGGGACCATACTTAATCGATATGAAGTTTATTAAGGAAATTGATAGACTAAATTTAAATTAGCAGCAGTATGCAATTCCTAAGTCCATACAGCTTCCCAAGTGTGGTTACAGGCCCTTTGACCTTTATCCTCATGACTTAGTTCCCTTAGTCCTACCAGTTATGGAATCTTTCCTCAGTCCTCCAGCAAGCGTGGCTGTGTAGGGAAGCAGCGCTAAGTCAGTTCTGTCTCAGTTTGGTCTCTGGTTCTCTGCTGAGGCTGCTGTTGCTTTTGTGTAGATCTTGTTCTCGCTGGTACAGAAATCTCTGGCCACAAAGGACATGTCACTGCTTTCTCTTCCCTCTTGGTAGATATCCCCACTTTCTGCTGATGAGATCACTCTATTTAAATCTAGTGGGATGGAAAGACTAGCCAAACCCCTATGGGTAGACTAAAAAGCCCATTTTGTATGATCCTGCCCATCCACGTGGCAAAGTAAAATTCAGTGGCTAGGAAAGTCATGTTGAGCAGTAAACCCTTGACATCACAGTGTCTGACTCAAGTCATAGTGTTTTCACATCATTTCTATTTTATAACAGTGACGCTGTGCAGTATTTGTCCTTTTATGACTAAAATATTTCACTCAGCATAATGTCTTCAAGGATCACTCATATTGTGTAATATTTTATTAGTGTTTTTAATTGGTGCATACTATTCCATTGTGTGAATATACCATCATTTTTCTATCCATTTCTTTGTTGATGGACACTTTGGTTGCTTCCATCCCTGCTATTGTGATTAATGCAACAAAAAACATGGATGTGCATACATCTGTTTGAGTGGTGGGTCTCGTTTCTTTAGGGTATATTCCTAGTAGTAGAATTGCTGAGTCAAATAGTACTTCTATTTCCAACTTTTTGAGAAAGTGCCAGACCACCTTCCATAGTGGTTCTATAATTTTTCATTCTCACCAGCAGTGAATGATTCTATTTTCCCAGAGTAAATTCCTGAAGACCTCCTTTGATAACCCAAATAAAAAGTAAAATGTCACATTATCTTGGTGTAGTGAAACTACTGCACTGAGGAGTCAATTTTCCTACTACAAAATAACTTTCATCTATATATGATCACTGATAGGAATCTTTTTTTAAATGTCCACACTAATATTTCTTCCTTGTTTTATTTTATTTTCTACTATACGAAGAACATTCTGTGCATTTTGTATTAGTTAGAATTCTTTAGCTTCTTAAGCAAACTTTTATTAAATCACAGCATTGTCTGAATTGTTGATGGTATTCCTTTCTTTTCAGTTCCTCCTAAGTTTGTGGTTCAACCTCGGGACCAAGATGGGATTTATGGCAAAGCTGTCATCCTCAACTGTTCAGCTGAGGGTTATCCTGTACCCACCATTGTGTGGAAATTCTCTAAAGGTAAGGAGTTATTTGATTTGCTTGTATCTGCCAAATATATGTAATATTTTGAAGAATCTGGTAACCATTTATGCCACTTGAACAGCGTTCCGACAAGTGGATGTCTTTCCACACCTCCTGATACAGTTTTCTCAAATATACTGCTCCTGGGACAAAGAGGTGTTTTTAATCAAGCCAACCATGTGTACTGTGTTCTTGGAAATACCACAAAAGTCTGGGGAGGCAGGTTTTCATGTGCTGCGTTTCCACACCAAGGAAAGTGCTACCTTGCTCATTTGTCTTCAGTACCCATCATCTATTTGGAAACTCCTGCCGACTCACCAAAGTGGAAACACAAGTGAAATTTGTCAAAATTAGTATTTTTTTTAAAAAAAGAATAATTTCTTCAGTATTTAGACATATGTAACTATGTGGTTTTAGAAGATTAACAATACAGTTACTGACATATATATTGTACATACGTATATCAGTCTTGAGAGTGTGCAAATTGTATGTTGTTTCACTTGTATGCTCTAGTCAGATCACCCAATGTCTAATATACTATCATAAGTGTTCTTGCATCCTGATTTCACTACTTTCACTCATAATCTTGCTTCCTCTTTTAAAGTGGAGCTTGATTTTCCAATTTTCTGGTAGTTGTGTATACATTATATGAATGGAAATATATAGCATAGCATAGCAATAAATATTAAATATGAAACCATTCTAGATAATGTGAGAAATTAAATTGCTATAATATATCCTCTCTAGGTTGCTATATCATTGTCCCTTAACTGTGCTTGTGAGAATATTGGACTTTTTTTTTCTTTTGATACTCGCATTTCTTAATTCTGGGCCTATCACCTCCAACTCTGCAGTGAAGCCCTTTCCAAACCCCGTAGACCCATGTTGTGGTACTTTTGGGAGGTTCCTCACTTTCGCTCTCTCTGCTTCTCTCTTCTAGCCTTCTGGTTCTCTCTTCTGTCAACAAATCTTTGTGGAGTTGACTGCGTAGATAATAAGCAACTTCTTACAGAATTGTATGTATGGGCTTCCCACAAAAGCTCCTTCAAGTGATCTCATTTGCATAAGTTGTTGTTATGTGCTGTTGAGTCTTAGATGACTCATAGCCACCCTGTGAATAAAAGACCTGAATACTTGTATAACTTTCATTGTTTCTCCAAGTTCATAGTTTTTCCAGAGGCAAGCTATGTTGGAAGTGGACACCACTCCTGCTTCCACCAAACACTGTCCACCGTGGGTAACCATTATCACATTTGACACTTCAGTGTCACAGTGTTCAGCATCACACAACCACGAGTTACCTCTAGAGGTACAGCAAATGGATAGACCAGGGCTATACCACTTAGAAGAATGTTTGACCAAAATCAGTTAATAAAACCAGGCCTGAGGGCCACAGATGAAAGTCCCTCACCTTTGTCTTGGTAGCATCATCTTATGTCCACTAGGTTAACAGAGCTCTCTCTATATTGTTGTTAAGTACCCTCAAGTCATAGACAACTCATAGTGACTGAAGTAAAGTACATAAGTACACAATACAAGTATATTGACTAGTTCTTTTAAGCTAGTAGTAAAATTAACCAATCACAACACAGGCTTTTGACAAAAAAAGTATCGATTCATACTATAAACACTATAGGAACAAACAACCTCACCTTTTAATTCAGTGTATATTTATTTATACCATTACTTTCATGAGGTAAATTTCAAAATATTCCTAAAATAGCTGGAATACCTCTTTGGGCCTTGGTTCTGGTTCACCTCTTTGGTCCTTGGTCTGTACTGGGTAAGGGCCCTATGGAAAATATTAGAGCAGCAATTTACACACTAGAAGCATAACTTTAATAGCACCTCTCTCTTACTCTGGGTTTTGTTGGGTTTTTATTTTGTTTTAGTTTTGGGGGTTAGCGTTTGTTTTAAACAATTTAACTGGTGAAAATGTTTTATTTTGCCTTTTTTAATTTAAAATATTGGTTTTTAGAGGCAATTAGTATCATGGCAGGAGATTACCCATCCTTTTCCCACAGAGCAGCTAGTGACCTTGAACCATGTGACATTCGGATTGCAGCACAGCTTCTTGCCACTAGGCCACCAGAGCTTCAAAATATGGTTTATCTTCTATTTATTGACAAGTTATATTTATATGGGAAATTTTTTATTCATGTTACTTACATGTCTAATGTTCTTTTATTTGCAAGAATGATTTATATAAATACATGTGTATTTTACATCTTATTCTTTCTCATTATTGACTTTTAAAACTAATTTCTGATAACTTTTTAATCCCTAAATTTCATATCAAAATGAGACAATTAAAGAAAAAAAATAGAAATCACAAAACATTTTAAAATGTTAAATATGTCCTTAAAAGTCACTTAAAAATGTTGTTGATGTTGTTGTGTACCTTAGAGTCAGAACCTACCCACAGCTGGCCCTCCTGCGGGTTTTCAGAGGCAGTTAACTGTGTGGGAGGAGACTGCCGCCCCTCCTCCTCCCAGGGAGCGGCTGGTGCCCTCCAGCTTCATGCTTTGGGATTGCAGAGCAGCTTCTTGCCACTAGGCCACCAGAGCTCCCTAAAATATGTAATAAAAGATTAAA